TTAAACTGAAGGTACTCAGGGAAATCTAGACATAGAACTAGAAATCTAATTCAGCTGGTGTTTCTTCCTCAGTACCTCATAAGTAGATTCCACAGTGTCAAACATAACCTTGAGCATTCAGGTTAATTTATTTAAATAGACATTAAAGGGAAAATGTTGAGTGAATACAGAGTGAGATCCCAAACAGTTCCTCATTCTTTCCCCCCCTTTCATCACCTTGAATGTTGTAAGGACTAATGATTTAATTTTATTAAGAGCTTTGAAGGTGAGGAGTGTTGGGTAATTACTAAATGTTTCTTCCTTGTGCTCATTTCCAGCTCTTCTAGCATCAGTCTGTCCTTGCATGACCCTAACCAAGCCCAGCTATGTCATTCCACTCAATTGTACATCTTTTGTCCTAGAAGTACAATTTCTAAAGACCCAAAGCTTGCTAATTTGGAGAGGCTTCTCACCTCTGCAAGAGTTACAGACGTGCTCTCCTGCAAGAAAAGCTTGAATGCTTGCTGTTCTTGGTTCAGTCATGCCGCTTATTTTCGTACTCATATAAGAACAGTGGGATTTAAGAGCAAGTTCAGATAAGAGTAAAGCCAGTAGAAGATAGCTAACAGGATGGTGGGTAGAAAGATAAGATAAGACAGACTGTTCTAGAGCAGCCCAGTAAAGTTCCCGTAACAGGTGCTTCCCATCTGATCATGCAGTTTCTGTAATCCCCTGTTAGTGGTCTGCTAACAGCTCTGGCTCTGAAGGACGCAGCTGTAGCAGGTTAAGACATTATCATTCCCAGCTGTCCACTTCATCTCCCTGATGAAGATCAACTCCCAGAGAACAGGAGGCCGAACAGACATGTGGGGCACATGGACAGCCACAGCTCATAGCCCTGTGTCCTGATGCACACCCGTGTTCAGCAGGAGGGTGAGCTGGTAGCCCTACAGCTGCAGTAACCGAGGCATGAAAGCGTGCCCCTGTCTCTGTCAAAGGTACAATGCCTGCAGCCAGGAGGGTCACGTAGATATACCACTGTAAATCTGCCTGAGCTAACTTACCTAGGACATGACCTTCTGCTAAGAAAAGGAGTAGGAAAAGGAGTTCCTGAACTTTTCTTCCTAGAATTTATCTGAGCTTCTAAGCAGTACTAATTGTGTCTGCTCAGTGATCTAGAAACGCCCAGCCAACTTCACCACTGCAAGCACCTCACAATATTAAGCCACGCTGAAATTGTGAACTATGGTGCCACACTACAGGTTGTGCATGAGTAAAACCAAGCCAATATTGCAATCAATCTCCAACATAGTACTTGGGAAAGAGTAAAACAGGAGGTATGATACAGGGGTCAGCTGGCACTCCACCTTGTAACTGGTGATCAGATACATCCCAAATTTACCTCCCACAAAGCAGGATTGTACTGCAGAAAATGCTATTCAGTAAAAGTTGTACATTCAGTGTGAGATAAAGCTGAAGGCCCAGCATTAGGCACAGCATTGAGTTCAAACAGCAGGCCTAAGAGATCTTACAGTGCTTCAGATCTTCAGACTGTTTACAAAGGACAAAGATTCGCATCTTTCTGAAGGCAGTTGCTTGAAAGGTTTAGAACTGTCTATAGAGAAACTTCAGCCAAATCCTGTTCCTGGGCACCTTCAGGATAGACAAAAATGTTGTAACCCAAGTCTTTCTCACACAGATATACAGAGAAATAAAAAACACAAAAAATATTCCCTCCCCCTCTCTCCCCCCCTCCCCCCAATAAGCAGATTTTTACTAATAAACCTCTACATGTTTGCAAAATTTCCAGCAACGTTTAAGTGTTGGTAATATATCAAAGCTGAACTGGAAAAGCAAAACTCCGCATTCAGTTGAAGAGTTTCTAGCTTTAATTATGGAAGAGGGAGCAGATTGAAGGGAGTGGGTGGAGGGAAGTCTGGGAACATACAGTACTGTGCACTATGAAATGTTGCAGGGAAGTAGAAGGCTGAAGGGCAGCCCCACGTATTTTAGAGATTTAATGATAAATGTTATTGCTCTGCACATGTGAAAGACATAACTTGTAGTTTTTCAGTCTAACCAGCTCACTTCAGATTGAGGCAACAAGGAAGAGTAAGAATTAAACCTCCGTAAAGAGAGAGACAGTGACTCACAGTTGTGCAACAGAGAAATGGCAATGGCCTTGAGTTGCTTTTGTCACACATGAGGGACTCCTCTACATTTGAAGAAAGGAGTAAGGCACACTACCTTAGTTCACAGCACACAGCTCAATCCACAAACATCTCTGCATATCAAGTAGTTGGTTTTTTATTTTTTTAAAAAAAGTATTTCTTTAAAAGTATTAAAAAAAAAAAAAGGGTATTTCCTTTAATTTCCTTTTAGCAGCATCCTTTAGCAACAAAGCCATCCTTTCAATTGATGTCAGCAGGAGTCTGCCATGTACATAATAGTAACCAAGATGTTGGATTGCAAAGTCATCGCCTGAATTTCCACAGGGAGGTGGTCAGAAAATTAATTGGAGTTCAATTCACCAGTAGAAAAGTTTGTTTCACAGCAAAATAGTACCAACACAAAATCTGAGTGCTCTCATTCACGAATTTTGCTGGACTACCTCATGTGAGTGTTTTCACACACACTTCTTCACTGGGGATCAGGCAACACATGCCTCAACACACCAGTGCCCCTCTGTGCTGCACCACTTGTGGTGGAATAGGGGACACCATGGTTATGTTGCACCATGAAATAATTCACCTGGCAAAAAAGCTCAACTCATGAACTAAACTAAAACAGCTCTGAGGTGGAGTTCCTTGTGAGAAATACATGTTTTCCAGGGAGGCTTGGTTTCATGAACACCTTCTTTCCATCCAAACAGTTATGGAAGATAAATTTTCAGCTAAAAACAAAAACAAAACCTTCTAACCCTAATACCTAATACTAATAAATAAATATTTATTTGTTAAATATTTATTTGTTTCTCTTGAAAAGAAAAGAGCACTGTATTCATTGCAGTGCCATCTTTGATCACGTTCCCCTCTGAAAATTACGGAACTGGCAATTTTTGTCGTTTGACAACCAGTACAGTTTGTAGGCAACAGTACCCAACGTGCTCCGGATCTGAACAGCTGCTTCCTGAAACTTATCCATGCACCACACACCAAAAACAGAAATGAGAGGGGCTCTTGCAGAAGTCCAGAAGAAAGCGGAAACCAAGCCCTGAGAGGTGGCAGAGACCAGAGGGGAAGCAGGCATAACAGTCCTGGAGAAAAAAAAAAAAAAGGAGAAGTTTGACACTCTTTCCATCTGGAGCTGGAAACTGCTCTCCTAGCTGATTGCGACAACTTCTGAAGCTGCAATAACAAAGCAAAAACTGACAGGAACATGGGAACATGGGAAAAGAGGAAAGATCCCCTTCTGACCCCTGTCACACTTGAGTAGCAAATGAACACTTACTCGCCTGTCCCAAGCAGGTCATATAACTGCAGAGACTGTTTTAGTGGTGTGGAATAAAAAAAAAAAAAAAAAAGCATAGGTATACAGAGCTGTGGGAAATGACTGTGACTTTTACCTATAACAAACAGTTATTTTAAATTGTCATAAGCTAGGACCTGGGAGATCCTTTTGGACCACACCGGCAATCCACATGCTGCAGATTCTGGCTTGAAGACACCAGGTCCTCCCAGTGCTTTCATTCTTTTCACGCTCGCCTAATAGACAAACAAGCTTCGATCACACAGGCTGGTTCCCTGTCAGCTGCTACAGCTGTGGAGCACTGCTGCAAAAACAGGGTCAGACTAGGAGCAAAAAGATGACAGACACATTAGCTCAGACTCGCAGAAGTCACTCATGACTCAAGTTTCACCACAGCACCAAAGTAAAATTCTCCTGACCCATAATTTTCCATTCAGTAAGATGATCACCTCAAAGCACAAGCAATAATAAGTTAGAAACAGAATTCAATTCTCAAGTCTATAATTTGTCACCAATAGCTCTGTGTAAATCATAGAGCCTACAGCTGGTTCTGTGTGTGCTGCAGTTGTGCCTGGGTCCACCCCCACAGCTTCTTGGGTTTCCACAGAAGCCACCATGAGGGCCAAGTATGCCTTGAGGCTCTCCTACAGCATACATCCATGAGTTAGATGACATCCAGCCAAACTGGCCACATCTTCCACCTCCAGCCACAGCTCTGGAAACGTCTTGCACGTGCTGCTCATTGCAGCCATGCCAGCAGCAACTGAGCTGTCAGTTGTTGCTGCTGGCTGTCACCAGAAAGTGACACATCGGCAAGCCTTCAGGCATAGCGCATAGCCTGGGGAAGGAAGGAAGAAGGTGGAAGCAGGAGGAAAGCAGATGTGTTTGTTCAAGAGTTTTGGAGTTTTGTGCTGAGGAAGGGGCACCATGGAAAGCAGCAAGAAACACATACATCCATGTTGGTAAACTGCTTTAGGGCTCGTTCTGCCCTCAGCTCTGCTAAGGTCTCCAAGAGAAGAAACAAGTTAGAAATATCACACAGTAACAGACCCAGCATGGACCACTGCAGGATCTCAGCAACAAAATTTTGCTTTCGTCTTTGGACTTTCTAATTAACTTCAGGATACAGATTTCCAGACAATCACGAAGCAATCCTGTGATACAAATTCATTAAAAAACAGTCATCGTAATCAATTTTTTGTTTGTGCTGATGAAGGAATGGTGACACACAGAACCTACGAACAGCAGTGCTAGGACTTCAGTGTCAAATGAGTACAGACAACCCACCTCTATGGGGAATTTGCTTTCCCTGAACTTGGTTAAATTTTCCACCCAGCAGGTTGTAGCCACATGCAGGCTATCATCTGAACGTGTTTCAGATTGAAGTGGCAGGAAGGACAGACAGAAGTAGCTAGTAAACATGGCATGTAGGAGCTTTGAGCCCATCTTGGAACATTTCTAGGAAATAAGTAATATTTTGTTTGCTTGTTTCTTTTTAAAGCACTTTGTAGTTTTATTGCTCTTGTTACCCATTGCTTTCTATTTCCTGACAGATCCCCAGCAAGACTTTGCTTTCAGCATTGACCGTTGTTCTGATGTTGCAACCCACACCTTTAACGTCAGAGCTGCCATGGTCCTAAGTAAGTGAATCACTATTTCCTTGTGCCAAAAGCAGGTAATTCACCTGTAAGTGCTGATATTAAGTAAGCAAGGGCGACAACCTCTGATAAAATAAAAATGGGCTTCGTTTCTGGGAAGTTTCAAAACCTGCTTGAGGCTAGAGAAATGGCAGTTCTGTTACCAGCTCTGCCTCAGACAATGCATTCAGCCCTCAGCCCCTATCCCTCTCCTACCCTTCATATGTCCATATGAGCAGCCAAGGTGGGGGCTGACTCTAGAGCTTGTCTTCACAAAGAATTCATTTGGGAAAAGTCCTGCTGAATGAGATGGCTACAGCACCCACAATCTCGTGTCAGCACCAGCAGCGCTTCCCAAATTGCCAAGGCTTACCCTTGCACCTTCTTGCAGCCCCATTGGCCCCAAGTTCACCTTGAACCTCTACTGCTACAACAAATATGAGACTGTGCTGCTGTATATTCCTTCTCTGAACAGGAGTTTATGTGCCAAGCATCTTTTAACACTTAGGAATGCTTCCTTACATGTAAAGGTCATCCTCCTGACGGATGTGCTGCCCTTTTCCCTGGAGCACCTGTTATCAGATGGTTGCAAAGTTAAACAAGCCTGCACACCACATTATAGGCATTTGCAAATACCTTTCCACCAACTCAGATTACAGGGCCTCCCTCTAGATCTGGTAGCCTCCTAGCACTACTTATCTGCCATGCTGGTCCCTGACACAGGGCAACCATCCCAAGCCAGATATTCAGCCACAGGCTGCTCCAAGGGGCACACTGGACATGGCCACGCTGCTAGGGACAGAAGGGAAAAAAGAGTTTAGGTGTGTGGACACACGCTTTCCTAGGCCACTTGGTCTCAGGATCAGAGAATTGTCATGGGCTTAATTTACAATAAAAATATAAACTATGCCTCTCGTTATATCTACCTTGAGAGACTTGGAGACCTGCTCCTGAAACATGTACATGTATTTCTAAGTATCAAGAATCCTTAGTGAAGGGAAAATGTTTAATGGCTTAAAAACTGGAGGGGAGGATGGGGTGAATGGAAAATAAATTAAAGCTGTTTACTCTTGCACTTTTTCTGAACACTCCATCCTTCTTTCTGTGTAGGACACAGCATTAAGGAACTGTACGTCAAGGCTGATCTGATTATAGGTGGGAAGACCGTTCTAAGCTACTCAGACACACTTTGCGAGCCTGGTCATTCTCAGCTTATTTTCTGTGGAAAGAAGAAAGGAGGTAATTTAGGTAGCACTCTGAAATGTTTGATGGCTACTGAATACTCCAACCAGGATGCACCTGCTGTGCCGCTGAACGCACCAATACATCATAATGTTCTGTTTACTTCAACAGCATGTTAATGGATGACAGAAACACAGTAGGACAGAGATGTTTTAATTTTAGAGCCTGCATTTCCTTAACCTGTTTGCTTGCTTTTCTTTTAATCACAGAATATTGCGCACACATGGGATTTCACATCCATAAAAAATAAGTTTAGTAATGTGTCCACATCCAACTGCAGAGAGGTTCATAAGCCCTATTTATAGCCACATGGTTGTCATGTGAGCAAAAAGTACTACAGAACTAGCCTTTATTTTTGTCAGAGGAAGGGCTGAGCAAACAAACAAGGCATTCTGAACACGTTCTTTACTATTAAGCAACTAACACATCCTGTCCTTAATGGCAGTTCCTAACACACTTTAAGGACTATGCTTGAATAAGGATCTTTGGATCAAGATAGTATTTGATGCCATCTCTGCTTTGCACCTTGTTTCTGCCTACTGTGTGACTATGCTGCAGTTGGATGAATACAGCTCATGCCAGTCAAGCTGCCGGCCAGCAGCTGCCAGCCTCACACTAGTTGGTTTACAGCAGCATTAGCTGACCCCAAAAAACAGGCATTGTTGTTTTCACAGGGGCCTGTGCACCTCAAGGTCCTTCGGCCATGATCCAGGCCAGGTAGTGCAAAGCTAGCCACAATATGTCCAGAAAGAGCTATGGTCATGTCTCTGGACTGTAAAATTCACGTATCTTAAACAGTCATTTTGAAATCCCTCTCACATCATGATTGTCCTTTATGTTGATTTTTAAAACAAAGAGGTGGAACTGTAGGGAAGTCTGCCACAGAGCTCTTAGAGAATCAGTTAGTTTCAGGAGCTCCACTTTCCTTCCATTCATTTACATCTCCATCATGATAATGCTGCAACAATTCATGTGCAAGGGCTAGGAGTCTGACAATCAAGCGCAACACTATTGCTATGACTGCCCCTGGAAAATTACTAAAACATTTCATGCAGTATAGAAATATCACAAAGAATAATAGAGAAATGCTGCATGAACAACCAATTATGTAAATCCCATAAGCCAGATAGACACACACACAAAAATGAAAGTTTTAGAGGTTTCTTCAATTGTGTATTAAATTATAAGAAAAAAATAACTACCATAGACCTCGCGAAAAACTACCTTGTTTTCATGACGTACTTAATAACATCCTTTAGAGAACACATCAAGAAGTGGAGCCAGTCCGGAGTAGAGCACAAACTGCCCTTCACACGTTAAGCTACAAAGCCAAAACCTCCTGGGGTTTCCAATTCTCTTAATCTTAGACTGACAGGTGATTGTTTCTACTAATTGAAGCACACAATGATATAAAGCCATAGTTGACTGGTGAAATAATATTACGTATCTTTGTTTAGAAGCATCCCTAAGTTGATTTGAGGACCTCTGCACCTCTATCGTGTTCAGTAGCTATTTTTATTTAGTAATTAAATCGCAGTGGGAAAGAAGTGAACTTTCTCAGACTAAGGTTCAAACTGAAAGCATGGTATTTCTTAATTAGTTGACATTTGATTCTAACCCATGTTTTAGAAAGTGTGCTCAATACCTGTTTGAGGCAATTCAGCACAACCATATTTTGACCATATTAGTACAACTGTAAATCTGACCACAAAAGACAATATTGTGAATGGTCAAGTATGCAGCCTAGCAAAAGTGAAGGGTAGATGACTCTTAACAATGGAAGCTTTGCGTGCAGAGCCATGTTTCCATGTTGTATGGACAGCACTTCCAACATTAGTCAAATCTGACACGAGCTTAAATAAAGTTCTACACACAGCATGCTTGCCTACCACAAGAAGGACAAAAATTACCTCTGCCTCCCTCTTCCAAAGTGACAAATAACATAAAATAAAAGTTCTATTGCAGATTTTGTTGGTCCACTAGCATGCACAAGCAGAGAGGAAGTTACAAGGAAGAGAGATTTGTAAGAGATGGATTTGGCAAAGTTTTGGATGTTGCCTCCCCCCAAGTATAATAATTATATACCATACCTAATATGGCTGCAGGTTTCATGTTCATCGTAATCATACTATTTACGTTAAACAAACCTCACATCTGGCACAGCTCACTGGGAATCCCAAAAAGGATTGAAGGTTTTTGTTTGAGTTATATCCCTGTTGAGAAGTTGCAAGCTCAAAGGTTGCAAGGAAATAGGCCATTGTTCACTTAAGAACAGTAATAACAAAAAAAGAAAAACAACTGCTAAATTCTTTGTGGTATAACACGAGCTCAGCTCTTCCTTTATTTTAATAGAAAGTGGTTATTCTCCACTTCCTCTAAAGAAAATAGTTACATAAGATTTAACAGATTTCTCAATGCAATCACTAAAATCAGAGAAAGAGACCTAGCGTGGTAATATTTAGCAGCGTGCCAACCACAACTTGCAGGCTTCAACAAAACTTCCTGGTGAAAGATGCTAGCATACTCTGCAAGTTTGCAACTTTTCTTTCAGCCCCAACTGAAGAAAGCACGAGAGAACTGGCACGATTCCCTGTGCGCACTCTCAAAACAATACAAGAACACCCCTGACTTTAGACCTCCACTCTACGCATTATTGCTTCTTCTGCTAGGTTTTACAGTGAGTGTTTCCAAAAGAGTATTCATGAATAAAAATAGAGAACGAGGCATAAATTACAGAACTGGGTATCACTTTGGGAGTTTAGATGCGTTTTTTTTTCCCAAGAAAGCAGCTACACCACAAAGCTAGGTCTTGTACTGATATACAATGCCATCTTGCTTAGCCCCTTCATATCACTTTTTCCTCCCCAGTAAAGAGAGTGGATGTTTCTCATCCAGCTATGTATTTATATACATTTTTCTCACTCAACTGTATATCTATAGCTGGCAGTTATTCAGATCATTCCTGCATCCCTGAAACTCACAAAAGTTTTGTGTCAATTGCATGGGTGCAAGATCGTGTCCTAGAAGAACTCCAACATGGAGCATTTAAGTTCTAAAAAGATTTAAAACATAGAAAAAGAAGAGGTGGGTGCAGATGTACAGGGCCTTTATATAGTACAAGAGTGTGAGAACGTTTAAGATTTTCAGTGCAAGGAAGATTTGAGAAAGAGGAGTGAGAATTTCATTATAGGTGTTTTGTCAGGAATGAGAAGCATCTTCGTGGTAAATGGTAACTAGTAAGTTGAAGTAATTCTCGGGAAGTTCTTATACATTTGAAAGCTCTGCGTCAAACTGAAAGCTACCAGAGGCCTGTTCACTGACAGGGAAAAGGACTAAGTTACTTTTGGTAGAAATAGTAGAGGAAAGCTAATACAAATACAGTAATATTACTTTGAATCAATGGTGCATTAGAAATGTTTCCCAGGATGCTCTATAGAAATCACATTCAGTTAAGTCTTTAAGGAGAAGAGCTGAACATGGAAGGCAGGCTAAAAGCACATCACTGATGACAGCACACGTTATAGGTGCTATAACTTACCAGACTAATAATGACATAGGGGACCTTTAATTAGGAAAAATGTAGTCATGATTTATGCTGTTCCCAATAATGTAAATATACAGTCATGCATTTGTGCAACTACAAAAGCATCTGGGCTTGCTCTGTGAAGACCACAGAATTCTTTCAATGAGCTTGGCTCAGTGTCTGTGACAGTTACAGCCACTGAAACAGATGTGTTCATCCTCTTTCAATGTAGGAATGCAAAAGAGTATACGAGTATACGAAGGATGCTGTGATAAACTACAGCCCTTAAAGCCTTGGAGAATGTTTACACGTCTGGAACTGTAGCAGAAATCTCCATGTGAGAGGAACACAGAATGGGCTGTGAGAAGCCTGATCCAGACAATTTAGGCACCAAGAAGATTGCTATAGTCAGAAATGAGTATGAACAATAAAATTCACAGATCTACGGTTCTATATTATTTCATAACAGGTCTCAACTAAATGAAAAGTAAAGCTGCTTTTGCTTTCCTATCAGAATATACATGCAAAGCAGCACAGACCTTTTTCACAGTTACTGAAGCAAGGAGGGTCACAGGAGCTTTCTGTGGGCCTGCTACAGAACCACACAATGGTTGATGCTGGAAGGGACCTCTGGAGATCATCTAGTCCAATCCCCCTGCTCGAGCAGGTTGCCCATGACCACGTCCAGGTAGCTTTAGAATGTCCCACAGGATGGAGACTCTGCAACCTCTCTGGGCAGCCTGTGCCAGAGGTCAGTCACTCTCACAGCACAGAAGTGCTTCCTGATGTTCAGACAGCACCTCCTCTGTTTCAGGTCGTGCCCATTGCTTCTTGTCCTGTCACTGGACACCACTGGAAAGAGCCTGGCTCCCTCCCATGTTTGTTACGGAACAAATACGGAGCTACCACAAGTCAGAGCAATCAAAGAAAACAGGGAGAGGTGAGGCAGAGCCCTAAATCTGCCTTCATCTAACTGATGTAATCATTGCTTTGTCATAGCAAAGAGGGACAAAATGGCTTCTGCCTGTAGCAAAGGAGAGATCAGCATTGCCATCCTTTCTGAAAAAAAAAATATATGGCCTGATGACTTCTATTTCATTTTGACATATAGGTTTTGCAGAGCTTGGATACCGTTTCTCTGCATTTAGAATCTGGACAGCTTTTCAACAGCCTAGGTGAGACACTAAAGAACTACATAATCCAAGCCGAGTTTCCATATCCCAGAGGAAAAGGATTTCAGGCAAAGGCAATTGTTCACAGCCCAGTTTACTCTCTCTCCTCCTCTGCTGTCATCCAAGATGTGCTAAATTCAGAGATGACTGAAGGAGGGACAGATAAGGCCCATTTTAGGCCCTCTACTGAAAGCAAGTGCATATAAACCATGAGCCATACCAATGCAGGGTCTGCACCACTCTGGGGGTGCAGCTCACAACATGCCTTAGCTCACATCCACACACGTACATCCCAAGTCCCAAGAGAGTCACTCATCACATAAGTCGTGCAGTAAGCAATGCCTTTAACTCCTATTTAGGCTCTAGTAAGTTGTGAACTGAGAAGTGGGCTGTGCTGTATTTTTAAGATTCTTGAGTCACCACTCTCTGCTGTGGAGATGTGTCAGACTCCAGGGCTTTCTTCATGCACAGAAGCAAGCAGTGATGGCAACTGCTCCTTGAATAAAAGACTTCTTGGTGTCTGGGTGAGGTGGCCAGGGAAGCAGAGGGGAAGGAAAACAGTCTGAGTGCTATAATGCAGTTGATCAGTTTTGGAGTGAGAAGCCGGAATGTACTGATTCTATTCAATTTGGGTATCATTTTTTTTCAGGGAGACACTGGGAAGTCCTGCTTTTCTCCACCCCCCAGAATCATCAGGGCATTACATTTAACAAACTTCTCATTAATACAAAGCTGTGGGACACTGGTGATGTCTCAGGTTTCTGCTACTCATTTCCTAGTGCATATTATAGTTATGATTCTTTAATTTAAGTTTGTTAAATGAAGGCATTGACTAGAAGACATTCTGTACACTTATTTCCATTTCAGATACCTATTGCATGGTGGGATGGACCATATGACAATCATGTGACAAATCTTTTGTCCACCCTTTAACAAGGAACAGTTAAAGCAACGCAGAGATACTGGACTAAAACAACTCTCTAGGATTGACAAGCATCAAAATGCCAGCACATGCTCAAACACGATGAAACACTTACTCCTCTGTCACTGTCAAAGTAAAGAATATTTCATGACACCTACAAAAGAGAATCCTTAAACAGTTCTTAGTTTTCCATGACTTCTGTAGGGCAAGTTGTGCAAGAAATTCTGTACCAAAACATCTACGAATTTTATTTTCAGTCAAGTCTACACAGTTTGGCCCAGTAAGCTATGAAAAAGTAGGAGGAACTGCAGAACAGCTTGTGAATTCTGTCCATTAATGCTAAAGTTGCCCTTTCTTCCACAGTGAGGAGCAAGCATGTCTTGCAATTAAGGACATGGAGATTGGAAGGTGCAACTCCTGGGCTCCATTCCAGTCACCGACACAACTCACGATGGCTTTAGCACATCATGTAACTTCTTGGTGAATGCTCTCTCAGTGAGATAGACATGTTCTTATTACTTTAAGGTCATGTTCAGCAAGCAGTCAGAACTCTACACCTACAGAAACACTCAGCTCAGATTTACCATTCTGCTAATTCTAAGCAAAAAGTACAGCTCAACTGTTGAATCCCCAGGTGTTTAACAGATCATGCTAAAGGGCTCATGTCTAGCAATTTCCTGCTCCCCTTTCATTTCCCCATTTGCAGGATGCATGCTGACATACGGACACCCACCTGGTTGTGCAAAGCCGGGGCCCCCTCCTTTATCTTCTTGAGCCCAGGCTCTGCCTTCCCCATAAGGCAGTACACATCCTGACATTTCTTTCAAGAGGGCTGTTGCAAGACTGTGTATTGAGCACTTTGCAGTTCTGTAACACTTGTCACTGGAGCACTTTGAAGTGCTATTACCAAAAAAAAAAAAAATGTCTATCAGCTGCTTGTTTCCTTCATGTGCTGTGTGGTGTCTAACCACCCATCATTTCTGCTTTTCAGAACACCTCTACTATGAGGGACCTGTCACACTGGGGATCAAAGAAATCCCACAGGTAAGATTGCCACAGCTGTGATCTCAAGCAGAAGGGCTTTCTGGATGAGGTGTAGTCCTCTGACCATAAGCAACAGCAGCAGGATATTACAAGCTTCCCCAGCTGGCACACTGCATCATGGCTAATCTTTGTCAACATGAAATTAAGGGGCTTTGTTTAAAAAGCAACAAAGACACCATTATCCAGAGACAGCCAGGCTTTCTTCAAATAGGAGATCCCCTCTACCAGCACTAACTCACACAGACATACAGTTCTTTAGTAGACTTTTCTTCTATTTATCTTAAACCGGCAACAAACAATGCAGCTTCAAGTGACTCCTGAGAGACTAAAGCTGCAGTTCAACTCACTCCTTGCTGTGCTGAATAATTTGGAGAGTCTCATTCATCCTCACAGACTATAAAGGCAATTTGGATAACTATTGCAATTGCATGCATTTCACTGTACATATATAGTTTTAGGTAGAGACAGATTTCTTCTAAGTTACAAATAAAAGTCCAAGTTATGAGACCAAGAGCACTTTAAGGTTCCACGAGGCAGAGAATAAGAGATGAATTTCTTAGAAGGCTGAGAAAGCAGGCAGTGCTTAGGCATTGCTCTTACTGAGTTGCTTGGTTGTCCATTATAGATGCTCTTTACAAGCAGTCTTCACACTCAGCTAGGTCTCCTTCCTAAACCTCAACCAAATCACATTGCAAAGCTAGATAGGTTTTAAATGCTGAAAGCAATGTGGTCTGTCATAACCAGGCACAACCACCGCACAGAGGAATACCCAAGCTTGTATCACTCAGCATCCTGCTCCAAGAGCAGCTTTTCTAACATACTAATGACACTTCTGTAGTAAAGGCTCTAAAGAAACTTAGACACAGGTCTCCAGACAAGGAGAAAGCCTTGAAAACATCCACACAGAGCAGCAGAACTCCAATCGTGGGCAAATTAGCTGAATTTGGAGCCAGAAACATTAAGACTGTTCACTATCTTGTTTTAATAACAATTTTTACCCATGAGGAAATAATTATTCTGGAGAATGAAAAAAATCTAGTCACTAATGAGCAATGGAAATGAGTTATTAAAAACTCACTTCCATGAATAAAACTATAAACTTTTGGAGAATTAACATGCTTGTGAGAAAGGGAATAGGAAGCCTTCACTGTTAATTAATTGATCAGGCAAATAATGCCATTCTTCCATGCAGCAATCAGCTTCTGCTCATTACAGAGAAGTCTCATCTGACCAGCCCAAGGGACCCTTAGACAATCTGTACAGCAATTACAACAAGGCTGTATTCTCATGAGCATGTTGCCATTGGGCCTCTCTCTAAATTTGGATGTTACACTTAGCTTGATACTCTCTGTGAGGAAAGATGGCAGATATTGCCTTTGAAATCCCATGGTAAAAGGAGAATGGCAAGGAGCACAATTAATTCTAGCTGTACCTCCTTCTGCTTCACAACCAGAGAAGTCCTGAGCAGGGCAAGAACTTCCTAAGGTTCAAGGCCAGGAGGCCACTGATGCCAAGTTCTCCGCTTCTGCTGGTTTGCCTACCCCAGGTTTTGCTCCCTTACAAAATCCAGAGAAAACAAATGCCACAATGCTAGCAACCCAGCATCGCAGAACAGTTGAGGTTGGAAGGGGCCTCTGGACATCTTGTCTCAGGCTGATCCCCTCCTCAAGCATGGTCACCTAAAGCACATCACACAAGATCACATCCAGGTGGGTTTTGAATATTTCCAGAGAAGGAGACTCCACACACTCTCCATGCAACTTGTTCCAGTGCTCTGCCATGCTCACAGTAAAGAAGTTTTTTTTCAAGAGGATGAAATTTCATTCACCTCTTCTGAATCTCGTAGGTGAGCCTTGGCACCTCCCTGCCCACTGCATCTCCAGACACCTGGAGAGAGCAGTTATAACCAACACAAAAAAGCCATGGCACCTTTAAGGCTGAGATTTTTGCCCTTCAATACAAGTTCTGTCCCTAAAAAAAAGATACTAGCATTTACCTCACAATTTGAAGTTAAACTACCACTTGTTTTACTGAATATGAGTTCATCACAGTTTCATCTATACACACATCCCCAAGATGCCATCTTTTATAGAAATTCATATGCATCAATAATGGTGTACACAGTGAACAAGATCCAAGAAAGAAGGGCCAGACAGACAACTGAGCACCTCTTCCCCTTCCAGTTACTAAACAGCACAGGCCATACTGTGCTTGCTCACAAGAAACATGAGAAACAATACAGATTTAAATGGAATTTTTATGCATCAAAACATTTCATTTCCCCCATTGTTTTAATTTTGAACTTGTGCTGTCAGCATTGATATTTCTGAAGAGCATATTTTGGCAGAAACTATGGGCAACTCCTTTACCAGCTGAAACATTTGGACAGGAAACATTTCAGAGAAACTTGATGGGAAAAGTATTATTTTGTTTCTAGGAAAATGACTCGTTCATAGAAACTGAAGCAATTATTTACTACTCGTGGACTAATCTCTTGCTTTGTGTTTGTTTCATACAGGGAGACTACACTGTTTCAGCAAGGCTGACTAATGAAGATCATGTCACTGTTGCTTGTGCTGATTTTACTGTGAAAAATTATTTAGATTATTATTAGCAACTAAAATAACGTACCCAGACCAATTTCATTAAAGCTACAGATTACCAAAACTATTCAAGCCAATTGAATTGCTTGCATGCTGCAATAATTCTGAAGGAAATAATTCCCATATGGTGGTTCTGATGCTGTTCCTCTTTATAATTCAGTTTTCAAGAAGTCAGTAGACCCTCTAGTGGTAATTTTATCTCTAAATGCACACTGTAGCCCACTTTTTGCTTTTAATACATACAGCTGCAAATAGAAAGCATTTGATACCAACATTCTGATCTCACGATGAAAATAGGATGAGGCAGAACAGGCGAGAGCCAAAACAGTTTTTGCAGTAAGCTATGGAGGTATCCATTTCTAACACAGGCTAAAGAAGATTTTCATATGTATTATGTAGTTACACCCCTCAATGCTTTCAATCTTCCCTGAGGCCTGTCTGGAGCCTCTGATTGTATAGATTTTGTTATAACTGCAGAACAAAAACATGATGAATGTGCCTCTTTTCAGCACTCCATGTCCAGTCATGGTATTGATATTACTTCAGGCTTCAGGACTCTACATGCATTTGTTTGTTCATCAATGTTTTTGTGATATGCAAATTGTTCTATTTCTAATCTACGTGCTTATCTTGCTTCTTGATCAATTTGTAATAAAAGAAAATTTTCGTCATGATTCTGGGATCATTCCAAAATTCAAAAGGGGAAAAAAAAAAAACTACCCACAAACTTGGGAGGGAAAGAGCAACCAAGGGGGAATATTGAAGGAAATAATTTGAATGAGCATGTTCCTTTATTTATTTATTTTATTTAATATGAAACATGAGTTATGCTGATACACATTTTATGTCAGCAGAGGACAGACTGTTCTTTGCTTTGAGCAAAGAGCAGTATGAGAAGTAAACATATCTTATACTACCAGCCACAGCACACCCCCAAACTTCTCATTCCAGGAGCCTCTGCAGCTGGCATAGCTGATGGGTAGGTAGATAGCCAAGCACAGGGAAAACACCTGGGCTCAGGAGCTTGGGTTGGAGAATGTGGACCTAGAAACCTGTTTGGGGGACTGGAGAAGTAGGAGAAGGATCAAAAGTGGGTTTGAATGTTCATTTTGAGAGGTAGGGACATGAATCAGAGCCACATAAGGGTGCTGGAGCTGAGCACAGGTTCACGAGGTAATGAGCATGGTGCTGCATGCCTCACCTTAGCACGCTTCACCAAGGGCAGCAGGGGCTGTGGCTCACAGCTGGCCACACAGGAGCTCTGACACACAGTCTCTGTCCTACACACCCACACGCTTGTGGCACAAATAAATTCCTGAGCAGCAAGAGCATCCCTGCTGCACAGATAACCAACACTGCAGAGCAACCAACAGCTGGCAGGCAAGGGATAGTCCCTTGCTTCCCTCCTGCACAGTGAAAATCTCACCTGCCATCCCAAAGGTGAGCAAGTCCTTGAGGCCTAACTTGTGTTAGGCAGGCTCACCTC